ATAAAGGTAAAAGCTATAGTCTTGGGGCACTAAATATGATGAAGTGCCTTTTCTCTTACTGAAACATTTTTCCAGTTTATGGATTTTGACACATGCAACAGGAAATACTAGAAATCAGACATTTGTTTATATATATATATATATATATATATATACACTTTTTTTTTTGGAGATGGACAGATTTGCATTTAATGCAGAACAATGAATGAAATTAGTGTTTATTAAATGAATAAATGAGTGAACGAATGAATATATATATATTCATTCATTCACTCATTTATTCATTTAATAAACACTAATTTCATTCATTGTTCTGCATTAAATGCAAATCTGTCCATCTCCAAAATTTAAGCCTCTGCTCAATATGATATACTACGTCTCTGTGACAAGAAAGAAGACTCTCCACATATGCCATGCCCAGGCAAAAGAAGGGTCACCTTCAACCTCTTCCCCAGTGACCAGGGTTATGGATCACCAGAGTAATCTCACACCAGAGCACAGCAGGGCTTGTCCAAGCACATTGAAATGTGCAGGGAAATCAGAACCTGTGAATTAGCAAGTAGCTCCCTGGGTCTCCCAGGCACATCTCCACGAGGTTCTCTCTGTACCTGGAACAGAGGTACAGAGAGCCCAGGCATGTGGGCATGGAGAAGCAATGAGGCATCCTTCCCAATTTTCCTTCTCTTATTGTTAATGATGCAAGGAAGGGGTCAATGACAGAATTGTTTTCTTCCATTTTCTTCTCTGGGTATCCCAAAGGGCCTCCTACAGTGTTCTCTATATAATCATGGCTCAGGAAAGACTTTCTGATGGTTGATGTCCTCCCTCAACCTGAAGACTCCTTCTCCACCTTTTGAGGGGTGCATGAGGAAGAGTGATGCCCACCCAATGGTTGCCCCCAGTGCAACAGGCTGCAAGGCAAGCCTGTGTGGGCATCTCACAAGCAACTGTGAGAATAGCTCACATGCAGAGACGTACTAAGCAATATACAAGCATTAGCTTATTTAATCTTTGCCACTTCTCTGGGAAATGGCTAGCGCTATTCCAGTTTTGCCTACGAGGAAACCAAGGCTTTGAGAGGATGTTTGTTGATTCTGTGCTGTGTGCAAGCTTTGACTGGAGACCCTTTACTGTGCTTTTCTCCTGTCACCTAGGGATACCATCGACCGCGGCACTACATCGCAACTCAAGGTAAGCGCCCTCCCTCCACCTAGGGAGAGACTTCCAGGGTGGCCAGAAAGAAGGCCCTCTGGGAAGTCACTGTAGGGTTGCTGTCCTTTCCTCCTGTGTCTGTCCCCCCAACATTCCTTCTGCACCAAAGGCCCTGGCCCTTCTCTGGAGGAAAGGAATGAGCTTCTTCCAGCAAGGAGCCACACAGAGGAAGGCCACCTGAGGTCTTTGGGATTGCTCATTGTTTGTTTGCAAAGGAAAGAGGTGACAAGTTCAGCTATAGGAGGCAGGGATGTGAGTAAGAGAGGAGGGAACTGTCACCAGGAAATGGTCAGGAGGGGGGCCCCAGGCAGGGCAGACCAAAAGAATGGGCTGGAGGCAGGTGACATCAACACCTACCAGAGCCGGACCTGATGGCTCCTTATCTTCCCGTGGGTGTGGGTGTCTGCCCATAAGTGAGGTGCAGCCAGTTGCCCTAGAAAGCAACTTGGCAGTACATCCTCACAAGGCTTAAAAATGGTCATACCTTTCAAACTGCAGACAATTGTATGTGTAGACAATGATGTATATAAAAATATTCTTCACAGGGTTATCTATAACAGGGAAAACAAGTGAAAAATCTTAAATGGCCAACAATGGGTAGATTGTTTAAATAAAATATGGTCTCTCCATATTATAAAAAAACTATGCACCTCTGAAAAATATTGTACCTGGTAAGAATTTTTAAGGGCATCAGAAAATGCACATGATAGCTATGATGCTTATTGCAGTAAATATATACATATGCATATAAATACAGAAAATGGTATACAAACTTTTATATCAAGCACTCATATTACTTTGGCAATTTTAAAAATAATATAGGCCCAGAACATTGAAAGAGTAATTTCCAAGGAAATTGCTTTGGACTGTCAGATTCTATTTTCCACCCCTTGTCTTTTTTTCTTTTCTTTTCTTTTCTTTTTCTTTCCTGTTCGGGCTCCAGAGAAATGCCTCCAGCATTTGTCAAGCTCAAAATGAGGCATCTCCTGTTTTTGTTCTCAGCACCCGGCAGCTCTCTCCCCTGCTAAACTCTAACCCCAATTGCCTGCCTATCTCTCACTGAGGTTCTGAACCCAATTTTTGAAAACTCCCCCAAGCCACACGCCATAATATTGTCCAGAGGAGGAGACGGATGGCTCTTGTGGGAAGGGTCTGAGCAGGAGGAGGACAGAGGGGAGACAGGGAGCTGCTCACATTCCCAATAGATGCTTCAGACTTTTCTGATCTGGCCCTATCAGGCTCACATGCCTGTCTCAGGCCCCAGTGTCAGCTACTCGGTGTCTTAACCAGGACCCCCTGGCCTCAACGTGGACTAAGCAACCAGGAGGGAAAAAACCTCCTGACTGCTTCCTTGCGCTTACCGGCTTGACCCTTTCGCCTTCTCTGTTGGCAGGTCCGATGCAGGAGACAGTAAAGGACTTCTGGAGAATGATCTGGCAGGAGAACTCTGCCAGCATCGTCATGGTCACAAACCTCGTGGAAGTGGGCCGGGTAAGCCTCTCTTGCAGGTGCCCGGACAGAGGACGCTGGAGGTGCGCCCTCCCGCGTCTCTCTGTCCCACGCCTTGTGCTAAGCGCCTCCCGGTCAGTATCTCACCCTCGAGGCAGCCTGTAAGGGAGCCCTCCCCACTCCTACTTCACACCCGAGCAGTGTCCTTTCCCTCCCAGTCCCCTCATCCCTTCCCCCACCCTCTCTCTCCATTGATGGCATCATCTCTCATCTATTTCGAAGAAATGAAAGCCATCGGTCGTGAACTCCGTCATTGTCACACCACAAAGCTACAATCCTCCTCGTATCTACAGCCATCTTCTTGTCCTTCCCCTCTGTCGTCAGGTTCGACCGTAGGCAGCGGCTGTTTATGTTGACCCGAAATGGTCCCAAATCAGCCGTTTCTCATGGCTCCGCCTAAGACCGCAGAAGCCGTGTTTCCGCCCTTCTGCAGGCGAGCCCGGCGCCTCGAATCACGGGTACTGCTTAACGGTTTTCTCGTTTGCCCCTCTCCCTTGAAAAATCCGTCTCTTTCTTGTTGCTAGACTGTTCCTCTCAGCATGCAAACATGCTCAGTACCTTCCACCTTTAAAAAAAAAAAAAATGAAAACAGGCAAATAAAAAGTATCCTCTTGTCCCTACATTTTGGCCAAACCTCAAAGAAGGCTCTGTCTCTGCACTCCTGTTTCCTTCTACCCACTCCAGCTTAGCTTCCCTCTCCCCTCCACCACCAGTGGCATTGTCAATATCACTCTCACCCTTCATGTTGACAATCCAGCCGCCACTTTCTCTTCTCATCTTACTCAACCTCTCAGCAGCATCTGACACTTTGTCACCTGCTCTTCCTCCCCTGACTTCTAAATCTTGGCATTCTTCGGGGCTCAGGCCTTGGTCTCCCTCTCTGCTCTATCTCTGCTCTCTCCTGAGTCATCCTGAACTAGTGCCCGGGCATGAACACTGGGCTGCCATTCCCGATCCTTTTGGCCTACTTGGTTAATGGCGGCATGCGGGCGGGCGGGCTGCTGAGTTTAAAGGCAAGGTGTGCAAGCGCTAGGACTAAAAGGGCCTCTCTGTATATCGTATGAACTAACTAAAGAGTGGGCAGGTAAGTTTTTGTTTTGGTGAGAACCAGATGATCCAGAAAGAGTTCTGGCCTCCGTGGTAATGGGAAAATCTGGGCTGTCAAATTCCAGGAAAGGGGTGTGGACATCTCATGGCCTCATAGGAATGTAGGGCCAGGCGAGATGTTACCCCTGAGCCCACTCATATATATATATATATATATATATATATATATATATTCCATGCCCCAGTTTTACAGATGAGGAAACAGACCCAAAGGGGTGGAGTAACTACCCTGAAGTCACCGGGCCAGAATCCGGGCATGAAATCTGACTCTAGATTCTCATCTGGATGCTCGTGGTCTTCGCTCAGACTCTTCCCCCGAGGACTCAGGCCCCGGAGCAGCTGCCGTGGGCAAAAAGGCCATCCCGGGATTCGAGAACTCAAAGGCAAAGCCTAGTCCTCGTTGGAAACAAATTCCCTTGATGGATAGACGAAGTTGGTCTATCCATCTTGGTTGGATGTTGGGAGGAAAACAATCCCTTGGTGAAACTCCTGCTGGTAGCCAAGCACCGTGCCAGATACTTATTGTGAGTTATTAACTCCATTTATCTCATGGCAATCACAGCAGCCAGTGTTTCTGGTTATCGTTCTGACAGCCTGGTTTGTATCCTGGCTCCATCCCTTACTGACAGTTGACCTGGGGCAATTTTCTCAGCCTTCCTTTACTTCTGATTCCTCATCTGTAAAATAGGGCTAATAATCATATCTACTTCATAAGGCTATGGTGATAAGTCATTAAAATTATACATGTAAAGTATTTGTGGAACACTGCGTAAGCAGTGTTAGATGCAGTCAGTAACTGTTAGCTGTCACTATTAATAGGAAACTAAGGCTCAGAGAGGTCCCGGCACTTTCTGGAAGCTGCATGGCTACCGAGTGTTAGAACCAAGCAATGGCTCCGTTTGCCTTCAAACCCTGTTGCATTGTACCAGTGTTTCCCTAAGTGGGTTCCATGGGATGCTAGTCTGCAGGATGCGTAGTGAGAAGAGGGTTCCATGGTTAAATACGTTTGGGAAATGCTGTGTCCGCTGTGCCCCTTTTGCAGACTCGTGAAAGACGTTAGCAGTAGCGCGTTGAAGGAGCCCAGTAGTCCTGTAGCAAAGCAGCCTGTTTAACTCTGTGTAATCCAGCATTTCCCAAACTCATTTGACCACAAAACCTTTTTTTTGTTTGTTTTTTGTTTCTCGTTTTTTTTTACCTAACACCTATTAGCACCCAGCGGAACACACTGTGGGAAAGGCCACTCTAGGCCGTGCGGCGTCCCCCGGAATGGTAATAATACTTTTGTTTTTTTAAGGGGAAAACCGTGATCTCTTTTTCCTCCATGGAGTGTGAATTAAAGAGTCGACCGTGGGGATGGCTTGTTCGTAGCACGTGTACCCACTGCCGGGGCAGAGAGCAGCTGCAGTCTTCCCTTGGAACCTAGCCCTGCCATCCTCTTCCCAACTCAGATCCTTCCTCCTTCCAGCCCCGCGGTTACCGCCTCTTAAATGGCGTCCCTGTCCTGAGCACTTCTGCTTCCACCTCCTCACCGTTTCCCACCTTTTATCCTCACCTCTGCTCAGCTGATGACGCTCAGCTGCTCCAGCCTGATATTGTAGAAAGGGGACTCAGCCAGTCCCCACGCTGGCCACGTGACCTTGGAGGAGTCACCCAGCTTCTAAACTTGAGTATTATTTTCATCCATAGAATGGGGATAATAATACCCACCCAACTTACCTTGTTCTACTTGATCACTTAGTGTGGCAATGCATTTGAAAATTACCAGGAGCTTTGCAAAAGAAGGTACGACTATTATTCCTAATGGCTCCAGTGCCTTTTGGAGTGAGCTTGGCCCTAGGCAGTTTGCTGACCCCTGGCCAGCTGAGAACCGCGCGGGCTGGTTCTCAGTCCACTGAAGTCGCCCTCGGGTGTATTTGAATGGGAAGGCCAGGTGAGGCGGCTGCTCACACGTAGCCCCGTGCTCACGCATCCTCGTCTCTGTTCTCTCTCTCTGTCTCTCACCTGGCCACAGGTGAAGTGCGTGCGATACTGGCCAGATGACACGGAGGTCTACGGAGACATCAAAGTCACCCTGATCGAAACAGAGCCCCTGGCAGAATATGTCATCCGCACCTTCACGGTGCAGAAGGTAAGCTTCCCTGCAGCTGCGGGCGACCTGTCCACCAGGTGAGCTGGCTTGTTTGTGCCTCCAGAACACATGGTGCCCGAGGGTCTGCTCTGTGCCCAGCCCAATGCTTGGCACCAGTGACAGATCAGCAGTTGAGGAAGACATGGATCCTGCCACAATAGAACTCACAATGTAGTGCGAGGCACAAACAGAATTCAACAGATGGATCAATGAAATAATGACACCTTGTGATAAAAGCCACAAAGGAACATGCAAAGGGTGGAGAGATAAATCTACAGGAAGAGGGGTGGTCAGAGGGCCCCTCTCAGGGGAGGAAGCATTTGGGCAGAGAATGAAGAAGGAGGAGCTGGCAGAGGATGAGATGGAAGAAATAATATCACAGACAGAGGGGGAAAAACATGCAAAATGTTAAGGGAAAAAATATCTTGACATGTTCCATGCCTGTGGTTCTCAACCGGGACGATCTTGTCTTCCAGGGGATATTTATCAATGTCTGGAAACATTGTTGGCTGTCACAGCTAGAGGGTAGGAGGTAGGCTGTCACTGGCATCTGGTGGCCAGGTATACTGATTAACATCCTGCAATGCACAGGACAGCCCCCCCAACAAGGAATTATCCTGCCCAAGTGGCAATAGGGCCACAGTTGAGAAATGCTGGTCTAGACAGGGGTGTAGGAGCTTGATGAACAAGAATGAGACTTCACATAACAATTATTATCATATTTACAATGTAATTATAATATAATCATTGCCATTATAGCATGATTATATCTTATATCAATATGACAGCTAACATTTACTAAGCACCTACCTACTAAACCAGGTGCTTTGCTAACACTGAGTCTCCAGTGAAGACCAGCATAGGCCTGACCCACAGGGGACCTCTGGAGCAAAGACCACACCAGAGCTGTCCCTGATGAGGCAGAGAAGCCAGACTTTTGTGCTCCTGTATCAATCAGTCCACTGATTGTGGACCAACCACTGGGGGGTAACCTTCAGCTCCTGTTAGCTGAGGGCAGGTCTCCAGCAAAGGGGAGAACCGAGAACCGCAAGGCACCAGGAGTCAACATGCCCTGCAGCTGAGGCCGAGAGCAATCACCAGGATCTGGGCGGGGCGCCATTGTCATTCGCATCTGTGGCCGGTGGCTGGGAAGGGACTGAGTGGCTGGGGACATGGTGCCCCATCCTGAGACACAGACCCTGGGCAGGGAGGCCTTGAGAATCACAGCCAGCAAAGCATGCTGGGGAGTTAGGGTCCTTTCGTGGATTGTCTTTTTGTTTTTCTTTTCAACAATCACAAGGGAAGACACTCCCCGTAGGGAGATAACCATAAAAGACTCCCCTGGGCTCGGCCACGGCACGCAGGCGGGGGCACTCAGCAAACACTGCCTGGCATCCTAGCTCAAAATCGGTTCCTGAGCGGGCAACCCAGAACTCGTAAGCAGGAAGTGTTGTGTGCCCTTGAAGAGAGCCTGGTCCCATCCGGGCATTGGATCCCTGGAAAATAGTCACAGCGCAGGTGGGAGGGGCTCGACGGAGGGCTGCCCAGGACTGAGCTGATTTGGAGGACCGACGAGTGAAAAACATCCAAGTGTTTTGGGAGCTGCCTTCTCCTCTCTCGCTTCAGCTCACCCACCACTGCCTTTATCTGGGCCTTTGTTCTCTTCCTCCTACTCTGCCTCTCATCTTGCCCCTGCCTTAGTTTGGTTTCCTGGAAGCGGATCCCGTGGCAGGAGGGTTTGGGTGCCCTGGATCCTGTGTGGAGGGAGCGTGTGCAGGAGAAAGCGGGTGAGGGAGGCCAGACAGGGCGGGGACCACAAACTCGGTCCTGGGGGTGTGGCCTCAGCTGGAGACTGGCTTCCACCTGCGGCACTGCGTGCTTGGCCCAACCTTGAGGCACGGGGGCCTTGGGTACGCCCATCCTGGTGACCAAGTATTCTGGTTTGCCAGGATAGTCCTGGTTTTAGTACGGAAAGACCCATGTCCTGGGAAACCCCTCTGTCCTGGGCAAACTGGGCAGTTGACAAAGCCAGTTGGTCACTCTAACTCTCCCACCCCTGCCCCAGGGGAGGGGGCCCCATTCAGCTGAGAGTGGCTGCGGGATGCAGCTTCCTAAAATATGAGTCTAACCACGCACTTCCCCCCTGTGCTGCCATCTGTGCAACCTCCCTACCACTCCCCAGTGCCTTTGAGACCAAGTCCAAAGGCCTCAGTGTGGATTCAAGGCCTCCCAGGATCCAGCGCCCACCCATCCTCCCACGCCCCCGGTGCCCCCATGGCCTGTCTTCCGCCTGCCTCAGTGGACTCTCTGCACACCCCATGCTGAGCCCTGTCCCCTGGCCCTTGCCCATGCTGCCCCCTGCCTTGGATTCCCTCCCTCTCTTCAGCTGGGTGATACTCATGCATCAGAGCATCCTGATGACCAGGAGCGCACACCTTGGAGCCAGAAAGCCAGGGTGCACGTTGTCACTTTACAACTTGCTAGTCGCATTGTGACCTTAGGCATGTTACTATTCAACCTTGTTTCGCCTCAGTTTCTTCATCAGTAAAGCGAAGACAACAATAAGAGGATTGGTATCAAGCTTAAGTGAATTAACGCATTAAAGTATTCAGAAGAGTGACTGGCACACAGTCAATGCTTAATAAATGTTAACTATTATTTTCACTATTACTGTGTTTCAAGAGTCAGGTCAAGCATCACCTCTTCCAGGAAGCCTTCTCTGATTTCTCCTCTCCTCAGGTTAGGTTAGCTGACACTCCTTAACACATTTTAGTAGAATTATTCACTTAGGAGTCTGCCTTCCCAAAGAGGCCATAAGCTGTTCCAGGGACAAGGGCTGTGGCTTTTATTTCTAACTATCTAGTGCCTAGCATAAGGCTAGGCACAGATAAGCTTTGGTGAACTTTGTTCTTCTTGTTTGAGACAGAGTCTCACTCTGTTGCCCAGGCTGGAGTGCAGTGGCATCATCATAGCTCACTGCAACCTCAAACTCCTGGGCTCAAGTAATCCTCCTGCCTCAGCCTCCCGAGTAGCTGGGACTACAGGCCTGTGCTACCGTGCCCGGCTCATTTTTCTATTTTCTGTATAGATGAAGTCTCGCTATGTTATTTAGTTTAATCTATTTTTTAACTAAAGGAATGAACAATCAAACTGACTCTTCCTAGTCAATGCTCCCTACGTCTCTGCAGGAGATTGCTAAGTAGCAAAAAAGCAGGTAGGGGGAGCTGTATAAGCAAAGGCTCGGAGGTATGACCTGGCCATGGAATAGTCAGAAAACCGCTGTTTGGCCTAGAGTGCATTTTTGTTTGTTTGTTTGTTTGTTTGTGGGGCGGGGGACTGGAATCGATCAGAGCTGTAGGCTCTACCACTGCTCTGCTTTTATTTGTTTCACATCTTGTAATTCTAAGTAAGAATCCAATTAATAAGGAGGTCTGATAAATTTTTAAAATTTTGAAAGCCACAGAGACTATATCACAGCCAAGGCTAGAACACTAGAGGAAATTAGATCTCGATCACTGAAAGGCCTTGTATTACACTGGAAACAATTTGAACTTGGTCTTCAGGGCCATCATTTCTCTGAGTCTGTTCTACGGAATACACTTCCTATAAAACACCCGTCAAAGAGGGTCCCCTGGGCAAACACATGCTATATTGTCCTCTTGGGCATTCAGAATGTGGATGAGCGCACCGAAGGCTCTGAGAAGTCCTGCAATAAAGCAATCGGTTTCACTTTAACTAACTCCACATTTCCCAAAGCTCCAAATGTGACTGATCCCAGGATCACTCTGGGCAGTGACATCTGTTAGCCCTGCGAGGGCCCTGTCCTCCCTGGAGGTTGCTGGGCCGGGTAAGGGTGGGCAGCAGCTGCAGGAACAGAGGCCCGCTCTCTCCTCAGAAAGGCTACCACGAGATCCGGGAGCTCCGCCTCTTCCACTTCACCAGCTGGCCCGACCACGGCGTCCCCTGCTACGCCACTGGCCTTCTGGGCTTCATCCGCCAGGTCAAGTTCCTCAACCCCCCGGAAGCTGGGCCCATAGTGGTCCACTGCAGGTGAGTCGAAGGTCCCCCACCTAACCAGGAGCGCCTCTGCAGCTCTGCTTTCTTGGAGAGGGAGATATTGTCTTTTCCAGTAGCCTTCACTCTTTGCCTTAAAGACTCCACTGCCTGTGTCCCCCCGGCCCAGCACTTTCAGATGAGATCCGGTCCCAGGTCTAACAACATCAGCAATAGTGCTCGCAGCAGTAGTCATTGTTATTGCCGTTGCCCTGAAATAGCAAAGTCGTTGGAGGTGTAGGCTGGGCGCTGGTAGCGCCTGCTACGCCTGCCGTGGGCAGATCACCCACGTCACTTCATTTACCTCTCATCCAGCCTCGAGGTGGGCATTGTTATCATTCCCATTTCACAGATGAGAAAACTGAGGTGTGCGAGAAGGTAGACACGGGGCTGGGATATTTAACATGCTATTCCTCCAAACACTCACCCTCAGCTCCTTGGTGAGGCAGCGGCGTGCCTTGGCAGAAGCTCGCTTCTCTTCGTTTCTATTATTTTTAAAATCACGTGCTGGCCTGCAGGGTCCCTAATAGAGAGTAAGTGGACAGCACCAGGTTTCACCTTATTATGGAGAAGAGATATTTTCAGCTCTGACCTAGAAAGTCACATTGAGAGTGAGTGGCACGTCTTCGAATCCTCCCAAATGGAGATGAAGTGTGGTGTCAAGGGCATTCGGAACTGGAGGAGGATGGATGTGCCGACCGGAAGCTGGCCAGCCCGCGTCCCCCTCCTTCCCGGTGCCTCGCTCTTCCAGTACGACCTTGGCCAGCCCAATTCTCAGACCCTGTGTGCTCAGGTGATTGTGTCCCTGCCCTGGCAGTGTCTGTGTCCGTCGAGGGAACAAGGAAGACCCCGCAAACTGTGGATGTCCCAGAGCCGGCCCCCTCACACAGCGTCCATTTATCTTCACTGCAATTGTAGCCACACAAGCCCATTTCACAGCTGAAGCGATTGAGGATGAAGAGGCCTGGGCTTACTCACCCGTGGGCTCTCTAAGTGTTTCCCACGGATTCTCTGCTTTACAAATCTCAGAGCAACCCAAGGGCAATAGAACCTTAGCTCCAAAGCCCTAAATCCCAAAGAGCAACCAGAATAGGGATTAGAGAGAAAGAGCAACAATGGCAAATATTTATCAGGCCTTCTGCTAAGCCCCAGTGCTGTGCATGGTGGCCCTACATCTGCATCTCCGTAGCAAGTCACCTGAATGCATGTGAGCAGAATGGGACCCACGCCTGGGGCTGCTGTGAGATTGGATGGGTTGGCTAACTAAGTGCCTGGGAGAATCCCTGACATGCAATAGGCACTGAAAAATATCACTATTCTCTGCCTCTTAATATCATCTCCCTCCCCAGATAGTTAATCCCTCAGGAGAAGAACCGTATTTTCATATCCTCACTCCCAATCCCAGCATCTAGTGCGATGTAGATGCTCAACAAATATTTGTTGAATGTAAACAGCAACTATTAATTGAGAAATTATTATGCAACTAGGCACAGGACTAAGCAATCTACATGCACTATGTTTTTAATGCAATTTCATACAGTTTACATGTGGTATCTATTAACGCTACAAGGTAGGTCTGTTTATTGTTATTATCAGCATGATTTTGCGGAGAAGAGTATGGAACTCAGAAAGATTAAGTAGTTTACACACGGTCACACAGCTAGTAAGTGGTAGAGCCGGGATTTGATCCCAGGGGTCCCTTCCAAATATCCTGTGGTCGATTACTTTGCGGTGCTGAGATCAACACAGCCCAGTCCTCACAAAGCCCCTGCAGGGAGGCATGTTATATGCGTCAGAAAACCGAGGCTCACAGACACCAGGCAGCTTGTTCACTGACGGTTTCAAGATCCAAAACCGAATTGGGCTGGTTCTTTCTGCGAAAACGTGTTGAGGATGAGACATGAAGAAGAAACAGATGAGTGGTCCTTGGTACTCCCCCCTCCATACTGAAGTGCAGCCCGTTGAGCCCCTTCTGTCGGGTCTGGACTCCGCGGGTTGTTCTGAAGCAAATCTAAGTCAGACTTCACTCAACGGAAACCATGAAATTTTACTACCAATGAAGACCCACCTTACCACAGGTGATGGTCCCCGCTGGCCTAGGCTCCTTAGATCTATAATCAGCCAAAGTTGCTTTTCTGTCATGTTCCATCACTCTTGCTCTTGGCATTTCCTTTGATTTCCGCGTTGTTAGACAAAGACACTTGTTTCCACGAGGGAAGCAAGACGTGAAAAAGCAGCCACGGTGGACCTCCCCGACAGTCTGCCTGGCCTTCCCTTCCCAGGCTGTATGTGTTCACGACAAACGTCCCATTTGTCTCTGGGTCGGCACCCCTGTTTGAGAAGCCAGCGCTAATCTGGGCAGAGCTGGCCATGGTCCATGGAGTCTCACTGAGTTCTCGATATTTTGGACTTGGTCTGAGAGTCCCATCTGTGATCAGAAATTGAATATAAATTGGGAAACGTGATACCTGACAAGGGTCTCAGGACTGTCAGCTGCTCCAGGTCAGTGATGCTCTGGCTCGTGATCCCAGGGAATCAGGTGCAGGGGGAGCTGAACACCGGGCTTTGGACATGGGGCTCTGGGATTTGTTCTCCGCCTCGGGGACAGCTCAGAGGACTCTAGTTTCTGCCCTCTCGTTCACCTCTCCTCTGTTCTCTCTCTCTCTCCTCTCCTTCTTTGCTTCCATCCATCAACTGATTTGCTAAAGAAGAAAAAAAAGGGGAGAAGAGAAAAGAAGGGAAGGGAAGAGGAAAGACGTATTTATTAGGCATCTCCGGCATGCTAGGACCACGTTAGGTGTTTTATACCATATAGATGAGTTATTGTTATCCAACAAATGGGGAAACTGCATGCAGGCATGCTGCTTAAGTGTGAATTATGTGCTATATTATTAAGAAAGGAAGTGTAACAGCACACAGTCTGCAGCCAGACTGCCTGAGTAAAAGTCCCAGCTCTGCCACTTGCCAGCTGTGTGACCTTGAGCAAGGTAAGCCCTCTGTGCCTCTGTTTTCTCAGCTGTGAAATGGGATCATAGGGAAATTTATATAGGTAACATTCGTAGAGCACTTAGAACAATGACGGGCACTCTCTAAAGCCTAAGTAAGTGTTTGTTAAATGAGTACAACAAAAGAAGCCAGTCCTGATTAAAGCAGCCTCGAAAACAAGCATCACTCTCTTATTTTAAAAAGGGGAGAGCTGAGGCTCCAAGTTTAGTTGCTTGTTCAACATCTCCCGAGGAGGTTGGGATTCAGACTGTCCGGCTCTGTCTGGCTTCTGCAGCACTCTGCCTCTGGGCAGGGCCCTGGAGGACGGGGCTGCAGGGGGCGGGGGGTTGGGGGTCCCCAGGGCTGGCTCCACTCCGAGATCCCTAACACAGACCGCACCTTCTGTCCCAGTGCCGGGGCCGGGAGGACCGGCTGCTTCATCGCCATCGACACCATGCTCGACATGGCCGAGAACGAAGGCGTGGTGGACATCTTCAACTGTGTGCGTGAGCTCCGGGCCCAGCGGGTCAACTTGGTACAGACGGAGGTGAGTCCCAGGGGGCTGAGCCGCTGGCCAAGGAGAAGCATGCTAGCACTGGGAGACCATGGGGGGAGGCACCCTAGAGAAAGGGACCTGGGCGTGGGAGGAGTGGGAGTAAACACTCGGCTTGCTATGGGGAGACCACCGTAGAGGATGGGGTGCCCCAGCCAACCCTGGCGGGCTGCAGGGCAGGGACTTCCACCCGTGAGGAATGATGGTGAGTTCCCCGTCTCTGAGGGCATCCAAGCAGCAACCGCACGGCAACTTCAGGGATTCTTTCAATAGTATTGCTGCCTTGGGTGAAGGAGTAGGAGGGAAAGAGAAGCACTGGCACGTGTGGAATGTCTGCCATGCGCCGAGCATGGATTCAGTCACTGCAGGGAATGGCTTCATCAACAAACTTTTTGAGTACTTGAACTAGGTGCTAAGGATTCCGAAAGAGATAACACACAGCCCCTGCTCTTGAGGGAGGGGACCTTCAGGCACCTCTCTGTGCAGTGATAGAGCCCAAGACCTGAGGAATGTGGAAGGGGTTCGTCTTTATTGTTGCACACCTACTATGAGCCAGGAGTAAGCATTCTCTGTATTCAGAATATTGTTTCTACTCCTCCCAGCAACCAATGGTGTGGCTCCTGCTGGTATCCCCATTTTACCAATGAAGAAGAAACCAGGAAATCATATCCCCAATACTTCACGTAGCCAGACTGTCATAGAACATACGTCCATGTGTCCCCAAGACCCTACACTCTCTCGCCAAGCACCTTTTCTGCCTGTCCCACTCCCCTGTGCCCTGGCTTGTTATTCCTGCAAGAAGTCCATCTTCTGGTTCTAGAAGGCTGAGGGTGCCCCGGTAGTCAGAGGGAGGACAGACAAGGAGCCGCACATATCCTCAACCCTGCAAAGAAAAGTCACCCAAAGGGAATACCCCCACTGATAGGTTTACACACACAGGACCCGGGTGCAGGCTCTGAGCAGACTTGCACAGGCCAGTCTGCAGGCTTCCAGCACTAAGGCCAAGAGGGCTGCTCCATCGGTTCCCAGGTCCACGTGTGCAGAAGACAGCCTCGCTGCTTGGAGTCAGACACACGGTCCTTACTGTTTGGTGAGGGAGACACAGTCAAATGCAGAGTCATCATGATGAACCTGGATAAGCACTTTATAGAGAAATAGGCCAAATTCTGAAGGGAAAAAGATCACTCAGCAAACATGTATCAAGGGCCTAGAAGGAACCGCAACTTCTGCCTGATGGATTAATAGATGACCTTCCAGAAGGAATGAAACGCTGAAGGTATAGAGAGGGAGAGCGGAGTTTCAGGAGAAGACAGCAGCAGGTACAAAGAATCGTGATGGGAGAGGGACAGCACATGTTTTAGGGGCAGACCCTGAGATAAAGATTTGAAGGCAAGTAGTTTATTTGGGAGGTAACCCCAAGACGTGCTGCTTGATGAGTGGGAGCGTGAGAGAGAGAAGGGGAGGCAGCAAACAAAGACGACTTTAACAAGCTGTTAAACACCGTAGACAACTGGAGCCCATTTCTGCCGGGATCTCCAATAGATGGTGTGGAACATGCACCTCCAAGTTTTCCCACCTAAGGAGGGAGGGAACGTGGGGTTTTATCCCCAACTCCCCATCTGTCGTTGCTTGAGGGCGACTTCCCAGGGCATTAACTCTTTGGTCCTGCTGGCTTGCCCTGCACACAGCCCAGGTGTGCTCCTGGGACTAGAAAGAAAGCTCTCAGCAGGGAATTCCAGGCATCTGCAGCAAGCAGCTGTCATTAGGTGAAGGTGAAAGCCAAGGGAACGTGGGCCAGACACCAAGAACACGTGCTGACGCATGTCTGGAAGGTTCTCACTTTTATCAGTGACTATGTTCTTCAATCTTGCACGAGGAACAAAACTCACCATAGTTTAGCTGGTCGCAATGAAACACGGAAACTTGGCCCTTTGGGTTACAGGATAAAAAGTAAGGATTCTGCAATATATAAACCATGCCCATTCTTCACAGTCTGCAAGAGGAAATGTAGACAACAGACTCCCAGACCACTGTTCTTACCTGGTACCCTATTCCCTCTCCCCTCGACTTCGCAGGAGCAGTACGTGTTTGTGCATGATGCCATCCTGGAAGCGTGCCTCTGCGGCAACACCGCCATCCCCGTGTGCGAGTTCCGCTCTCTCTACTACAATATCAGCAGGCTGGACCCTCAGACAAACTCCAGCCAAATCAAAGATGAATTTCAGGTATGGGCAAATCTCAGTCTCAGTGGCTGTCCTAGTCAGTTCAGGTCGCTAAAGCAAATTTCCATAGACCACAAAACAATAGACATTATTTAATCACATTTCTGGAGGCTGGGAAGTCCCAGATCCAGCTGTGAACAGATCCAGGGTCTGGGGAGGGCTCCCATCCTGGCTTGCGGATGGCCGCCTTCTCATTGTTTCTTCATATGGTGGAAAGCAGAGAGGAAGCAAACTCTCATGTTCCTTCTTGTAAGATCACTACTTCTTGTAAGCCCTAATCTGATTGATGAGGGCTCCACCCTCAAGACCTAATCGGCTCCCAAAGCCTCCACCTCCTAATACCATCACTTTGGGGGTTAGGATTTTAATATATGAATTTTGGGATGATGCAAACATTCAGGCTATAACAGTGACCTAGCCAGTTTCAGTGGCTTTGTGTACATTCATGGGGCTTTCTTTGTGAGAACTGATGTGTCTGTACACTTTCAGTGTTTGCAGCTCTAGGCAGCTGCAGTTTGTATTTCAGAACATAAATTACACAGCCATGAGCAACCATGAACCAATCACTCAGTGATTGCTGGTGCTCATTTTTAACTATAATTGTGTTTTTGAACTGAGGTCTTATTCAGTTCTTGTCCAGGTTGTGAATGGAGACGAGTTTATACACACAGGTGTGAGTTTTATACTCCTCCTTCCCTGGAGGGACTCAGGGTTTTTAAGTATTTCCTCAGTGGAAAAATGCAGAATCTTGGGCCCCACCCAGACCAATTGAATGAGAACCTTCTGTTTAACAAGATGTCTGGGTGATTTGTATGCATGTTAAACTCCGAGAAGCACCATCCTAGAGCACATATCAGGCATAGCGAATCTGCACCTCGGAGCCCATATGGTCAGGGTTGGAGCAACTTTGGTCTTAAAGGCCTGGGTATGAATCACTGGGTAAGACAAAGCCAGAGTTCAGCCCTGCATCCCAAGGCCAATGCCAGGGTCCCACTTGGGCAATGGGAGCTGAGGACCAGGCCAGGAGAAGCAAGGAAGCTCTGGGACTTGCTTCAAGTCTATGGGCAAATGCTGGGCCCGTGGTTCCATGGGCAGATACCCCAGTGAGGCCAGTACCTTAGTGCTTCTTCAAACACTAGTCTTTATTGATTTGGAGTAGGGACAGAGTGTGAATAAGGGAAGGACGGGGGACACAGAACCCCGGCCATTGCACATCACATCTCATCTAATCTGCTGGCTGGGGCACTTCAGCTTGAAACTTGCAGGACTTACTCTGCAGAGCACAAACCCTGCAATTTTCTAGACCTACTAAGGCTTGCCCCTTGGAAATCTCTCATCCCTCCCGAATACCTCATCCGGGTATCCCCCAACCTCAGCCAGCTCTCTGTCTCTCTGAGAAGAGTGGTGGAAAATCATTTTCCTCATTCCATGACACCACACGTGATGTTTAACACTCATTAGGGATGCCCTACCCCTTTGTCACATATGTCCTCCTGGCTGGCCCGACCCTTGCTGCAGCACTGGCCAAGCTCAACCACTCAGTCCACGTGGTTGGCAGGTGCAGCAGGTCTGTGTCTAAGCCTGCGTGTGAGTGTGCTGTCCCTGCAGCCTGGGCACCTTGACGGAGCCCCACAGTTCACAGGCCCTGCAGCAGGGAGTGGGAGATGATAGAACAGCACCCCAGAAGAGGAACAGGCCCTGGGGAAGGGACAGCGGGGCCAGACTTGGAGGGGAGAGATAGGCAATTCCGGCTAAGTTGTGACATCGCTGTGTCTCTGCTCAGGGACAGCCATCTGAGCAGTGCCTATCCATCCGCCTTTGTGCCCCACAGACCCTTAACATTGTGACGCCCCGAGTGCGGCCTGAGGACTGCAGCATTGGGCTCCTACCGCGGAACCACGATAAGAATCGGAGCATGGACGTCCTGCCTCTGGACCGCTGCCTGCCCTTCCTCATCTCGGTGGACGGGGAGTCCAGCAACTACATCAACGCAGCGCTGATGGACGTAAGCCAAGCCCTGGCAGGAAGCTCCTGGCTGGCGTTCCCGGGAACAGCTCCTTCCCAGGGTGGAGGTGGCTGCACCCCAGGGCCCAGACTCCCCCAGCCAGCCTCTTCTTGCTTCTGACCTGCTGGCCCCGAGGACCTTGCTCCCCCCGGGAGGCTCTGGTCCAAACCTAGACGAGCTATGCTCTTGGCTCCTTTGCTCACATAAAGAGCCTGGAAAGGATAGACCAAAGGCTTAAAGTGGCCTCCATGCCACCACGGCAAGCCTGCAGGCCTGCTCGGCACCCCTTCCCATCTCCCAAGGGCTGACTCCCAGCCTGAAGCTCAGGAAGGGAAGCACTCTCCGTGCCAGCCCTTGGCCCTGAGCCCTGGGAACACAGCAGACACAGGTTCTGCCCTCTAGTAGCTCCCGTGCAGGGCCCCAGCTAACACTTGTGCAGAGCAAGGATGAGGATGCACACAGCAAGTGCTCAGTACATGGTTACTGGGCAGTTGATGGGAAGTGGTAAAGCAAGCAGGGAGGGGAGCAGGCAGTGTCCTGGCTGTCCTTTTAGGGGTACCGTCTCATGCTTTCTCTACATCAGGCCCAAGAAGGGCACTCCATGCTGTCCTGGCTTGGGATTAGGGTCACATCCCTGCCCCAGTGGGCCCATGCTGCTGTCTCTTGTGCTTCTCCCTGGGGCATTCCAGTTACTTCTGCGTGTCATAGCTTCACCTGCAAGGCATGGAGATGTTTGCAGCAGGACAGAACCACAACGAGCTAGTCCAGGCCATGCACTTTTCAGCAGAGGAAATGGAGGCCAGAGAGAGAACTAGATTTGCTCGAGGTCACCCAGAAAGCTAATGGCAAATCCTAAACCCTAGAATTTATTTCTTGAGACTCCCCACAGTTTTCTCCATCCAGTAAGATGCAAACATTGCACCTCCAGAGGTCAAAGACCAAGAGTGCTGTGGCCTGATTGGAATGAGGTCTTCTAGGTTCCCTCCCTGCCCCATATCTGAAATCACATCCATCCAGTGCATGAGGCCCTCTCATCTCACTCAGAACAGACAAGAACATGGGTGCTTTCACCTGGGGTCAAGGCCAACCATTTTCTCATCTCTGGTCCTCTTGCTCTTTCTCCCTAAGGGTCTTAGGTGTTGGAAGCAGGGAGGTGATGGGAGTTCCAATGCCTATCTCAGCTCTGTAGGGATCTGCCCTGGCCTCGGCCCACAAGGTGCCCATGTCCTCCATGGAAACCTTGGCCCCAGGTCTAGAAGCAGGGAGTCTTGGTCATGTCAAGTAGCTGGAGTGGAGAGAAGACCTCCAGCATTATCTTAGCTTAGAGCCTTCCAGAGTCAGTGTGTGCATGTGTGTGTAAGGTGAGAGATGGGGTTCAGAAGTGCACCCACACTTCCAAGTTCCTCCCAGCTTTGTCTGCTACTTGTCCCAACACCCCTCCCTGCCTTCCTCATCCGAGCAAGGATCAAACAAGCGCCTGGCTTCTACTTAGTAGGTTAGATGCTGCCTGGAGTCAAATGCCTTCTGCCAAGCTCTGATGCTGATTGTATTCTCTTTGTCCACGGGGCATTTCTCCTGTGAGCCATCACTGGGGCCTTTTCCTTTCTTATATTTTAAAAAAAAAAGTCCTTATCTGTATTCCAGCTCAGTCTGTGCATTATCTGGTAACCATAGCAGCTTTGCTTCTAGCAGAAAAATATGAAGTCCTCTGGGTTAATTTTTAATGTTTCCCCTGGTAAAGGATGATGTTATCCATGAAATGGATTGCCGACTGATCCCTGAAACCCGGCAGGAGCACGGATCTCGAACATATTTTCAGATAAGGCTTTGTCAGGCGTGCTGGCCTAATAGAGCATTTATCACAGAGACAGGAAAAAAGGAAAGAAAACTAACATTCACCGAGTGCTGGGCACCATGTCGGGCCCTGGACTTATGCTGTCTCGTTTTGCATTTGGGTATTAATATCTGCATTTTCTAGTGAGGTCCTGAGGGTCAGAGTATTTCCGGCACTTGCTCAAGGTCAACTAGCTCAGAAATAGGGGATTCACGGATCTGAACCCTACATCTGTGGACTCTTAAAGCCTGGATTCCTTTCCATGTCTGGAATTGGCCCGTCTGTCTGAAGCTAAGAGTTTGGCTTTGGGGAAACTAAATGGTCCAAAGCCCTCCCAGACGCCCCTCTGATCATCCCGCTGGCAGGGAGATGGCCCTGGGAAGACAGAAGCCCCTAATGCGTGCCTGACATCCTTTGCCATGCATGCAAGGCTTTGTCCTGCTTCTGCGAGGGCTCTGTCCCTCTTCCCTCCCCATCTTCCTTCTGACTTGTGACTCCACTGAGAACAGCTGTGACTCCCACGGAAACTGTCTCCTGGGAAAACTTGCTGGGAGCACGAGCTGTTGCTCAGGTGTCACAAACCGCTCACGACATGAGCAAGCTCTACAGACACCTTCTTCACAGGGCAGCGTGACAGTCAGGGCCCGGGCGAAGCTTGCAGATTCCCACAGGCTGTTTTCTCTGGGCCTCTGTTTCCCCATCTGTAGCACGGGACTGAATCTAGTCACTTACTCGCTGGCGCTGCGCTGAGGGCCTGGCGTGTGCCGGCCGCAATGCTGGCGCCACGGGCGGAAGACAAAGTCAAGGGTGTTTCCGCCCTTCCAGTGGGCTTACGGTCAGGCTCTTGTGTGCTGGTCTTTTCACATGCAAATCTCATTCCATCTGTATGACGACCAGCCCTTTGGATTTATGATTCCTGTTTTCCAGATAAAGAATTGGAGTTTTGGAGTGATCCCATAACTTGCCAGTGCTTAGCACCCTCTCCCACCACCCCAAAAGGAACTCGACAAGTGGCATTTGAATGAATGAATGGATGGATGGATGGATGGATGGATGGATGGATGGATGGATGGATGACTAATAACTTACAAGTGGCAAAGCTGGGCTTGAACCTCAGGTCTGCCTGATTCTATCACATGGGTACCTCCACTGTCCCATGGGCTCACAGGCCACAGCGCCCTCTTTGCCAGGCCAGCTCAGCCCTCATTCCAGCCTGGGGGCAGCAGTGAGCCCCAGGCCAGTGCCACCCCTCCCCCGCATCATGGGCACAGGGACTCGGTGGATCCCTTATATCCCGAGAGGTGTCTTGGCCAGCAGAGCAGCAAATCTGCATCTAGAATCTTTTTTCATTTCATGTTGTAATGATGATTATTTGCTGAGCCCCAAGACATAAATAATTTATTTGGATAATCCCCATCCGAGTGACACTTTCCTAACGAAATGTCTTAGTTTGGAGGAGAACATGTTCATTAGGAGAAGGTCCCCTTTGCCGCCAGGGCACCGAGAGATAACAGGGCAGGCAGGTGCTTTGTATAATCTATTTGGCAGGCTCGGGGGGCCTCTGGCAGCCATCCAGGCCTCGTCTTCATCGGAGTGCCACTGATGCATGTGTATTTTACCAAGCCCGTGTCATTCCTTTGTCAGAGCCACAAACAGCCGGCCGCCTTCGTGGTCACCCAGCACCCCCTGCCCAACACCGTGGCGGACTTCTGGAGGCTGGTGTTCGACTATAACTGCTCCTCCGTGGTGATGCTGAATGAGATGGACACTGCCCAGGTAGGAGGAGGCCCAGCGCTGCCCTGGGCGGGCCCGGGCGGGTCAGGGGAGCCGTGCTCTGGACTTGGAGGGACGGCCCTCAAGAGCGGCGCAGGCTGCACCTGCCCCAGCTGGAGTCCTGCGAGGGGCACCGTCTGGCCGTGAGCAACAGGAGAGCCCTTCCCGCTGCCTGCAGAGGCAAGAAGTCACCCCCTGGGCTCCGGTATCCCCAGGCCCCCAGCAAGCATCCCCCCTGCCTTTGTCCAACTCCCCCAGGGCCAGACCCCATTGCTTCGTCCCCTAAGCACCCGGTGCCCTTAAGGAGCAACACCGAGGCCACCGGACAGGAGCCGTGGGAAGGTGGGGAGAACAGCAAGAGGAGTCCGAGAGCCGTGGAGGTCATAGTAAGAACTTGGGGATTCACTCTGAGAGAAACAGGAGCCATCGGCAGGTTTTAAGCAGAGGCGTGACATGATTTGACTGTCTTGGGACAGTGTCTGCAGCCCACACCCCTAGAGCAGGACAGCCATTCTGGGTCAGCGGAGGTGCGAATGGCCTTTCAGGTTTTTAAAAAGCTGTCCTTTCACTGCCTTGAAGAAAACTCAGAGTAACTCAATGCATTCCCGTCTGAGTGCTGGCCTTGTTCAGGCCTTGGGTGGAAATAAGAATTTTTTTGAAATAGATCTGAGCTGTAGTCTCAGCCCTCCCGAAGTTCCCAGCCTTGCTACAGAGACAGATGAGCAAATTGTCCCAAGCTCGCGCGGCAGCGTATAATAGAGGTCAGCAGCGTGAAGTGCTGTGCTGGCCAAGAGCAGAGAGCAATTAATTCTACCCACAGGGCGAGGGAAGACTTCAAAAAGAAGGTGACTTTGGCCTTGAGGAAGGCAGAGGAGATTTAGGCATCTGGGGGCTGAGCTAGCCGGGAAAAGGCGTTTCAGGCAGAGGGAAGAGCAGAGGCAAAGGCGAGGCAGGGGCGTGTGTGTTTTAGGCTTGTTTGCAGAACAGCTTCTGGTCCCCTGTGGCTGGGGCTCAGGGTGTGCCAGGAGGGGTGAGGCTGGGAAGTGCGGCAGGGCTCGCAGAGGCCTCACTGTGCCAGGCTGAGGAGCTCGGGCCTTGGACGGCAGCGTGGTGAGCATCAGACTCTTACTTTGCAAACAACAGAATCCTTTCTGCAATTAAAAGCTTTCGTGCAAGCCCAATGCATGAAACAGAGATGATCAAGAGCTGCTCGTGGCCAAGCGTGCGGCGGGAGGGCCGGGCTCCTCTTACTCCGCTCCCTAATCTTCCCTGGGTGCCCCTTGGAGGGAGATCCGGTCTCTCTGGGTGCCTCTGTGGGACCCCTGCAGTTCCCAGGATACACGTGGAGGTTAACAGTGCTGTGCAGAGCCACAGTGCCCATTGCAAAGCCAGGCCTGGGGACCAGGGAGAGGGCAAAGCCGGAGGGAGGACCTGGGAACCAAGGAGCCGGGGGAGGAGAATGTTGCACATGTGCAGAAAGCAAAGGTGGTGACCCAAACTAGGGAAGCAGCAAGGAGGCAAGAGAGGTGGAATTGGACGCAAAAACATCTCCCGAGTTGAAGTCCACAAGGTTTGGGTGGCAGCTGCACGTGGGAGGTGAATGGAGGGGATGAGTCCCCTTAGGTAACAGCTGGTGGTCTAGTCTGGGCAGTGAGGTGCCCAGGGACACACCCGGCCCACCGGGGAAAGGCAGGAGGGGGGGAGGGGAGCAGGGGTGCAGATGGGCGGGGGTGCAGCTGAGCACAGCTTGGGATGTGTCTGTGGGAGACGGGAGCGAGTCCCTCCATTCGGGCAACCCGTATGGGCGCAGCATCTGCTCCCGGCTGGAAGCTGTCCTAGGTGCTGGGAACGCAACAGCAAGTGAGCAGCACAGACAAAGCGCCATAAAAATCCCCAGCTCTCGTGCAACCTCTGTTCTAAAGGGAGAGACAGACAATCAACAGCCAACACTCTATAAGGCACTTAATTACATGTTGGAAGGTGAAAAAAGTGTTTGGCAGAAGGAAGTAAAAAGGCAGGATGGTGACCGTCGTAGGGCTGGGTCTGGGGCATGGGGCGTAACTGCGACAAGGGAGTCGGGGATGCCCTGTGGAGAAGGTGACACCCGAACACAGGCCTGAAGGAGGCTAGGGGGCCGTCCGAGAGCCCTTCTTGGAGAAGAGTGTCCTGCCACCGGCACCTGGCCGCCATATGTCTCGCAAGCACCCGGCGCCCTTAAGAAACAACACTGAGGCCACCAGGCCACCGGGGCCGGAGCAGCGGGAATGTGGGGAAACAGCAGAAAATGAGGTCAGAGGGCCACGGAGGTTATAGGAAGAACTTGGGGTTTCACTCTGAGAGAAACAGGAAGCCATTGACAGGTCCTAAGCAGAGCAGCAATGTAATTTGACTTTTTAATAAAAGCATCCCTGCGGCTGCTGTGTTGGGAAGAGATTGTGGGTGCCGGAGGGGGGAGGCTGATTGCTGAGAATGGAAGCAGGGAGGAGGGAGCGGATGCTGCTGTAATTATTCAGGTGGCGGCTGAGGGTGGCTTGAGCCAGAGGGGTAGCAAGGGAGTGGATGGTGGATATAGCCCGAAGGTAAAGCCAACAAAAAAATCCTGAAAGATTGCACATGTTACGGGAGAGAAAAAGAAGGATCAAGGACAATTCCAAGGTTTGGGGCCTGAACAATGGAAGGTTGGAAACTGAGATAACTATAGAAATAAATGAATTCCCATTAAAAAAAAACAGAGCGTCCTAGAGCGTTCCCTGCAGAGGTTTGGAGTCAGAAGGCATCACCACCCCTATTCCTTTGGCTGAAGAAGTAAAACAGCAAACTCAGCTCATGAGCCTGGGAATGGAATCGGGCCTATGGCAGCCTGTTTGTTCTTCTCTTTTTCAACATCCCTTCCTGCAAAACCCGAGCCCGTGCACAGAGGATGAGTTTCAAGGAACCCCACTTTGGGGCCTACAGAGGAGCAAGGGTCAAGATCGCTCCCCTTTCCAGCGTGGGTCCCGGCTGAACGCAGGATCTCTCAGGCCCAGATGTTGGTGCAGACTTGGAGAATTGATTTTCTAAATGCAAAAACATCAGGCTCAGAAGTGCCCTAAGGTTGGCTGCCATATGCAGCTGGCACGCATCCCCCGAAATCGGCAGATGAATAGAGCACTTATTGATATAAATATCATCACCGCAGCAGCTGGGCGCCTCGCAAAAATAAACAATGACACAGCATGAGCATCAGAAAAGCCGCCCTCGGCACCTGGAGGGGCGGTTCTCTGAAGTGGCATCAGCATTTGTCTGCCTGCTCGCTCGTGCCAAAGCGACTCCCGGCTTGGGCCAGCCCGGCAGCACGGACAGTCTGCCTTAGGTCCTGGGCATTGTGAGGTCACTCCTGCAGACCAGTGCCACATCCTGTGGTTTTATCGAGGACCACAAGGGCTCACGTCGGGGGTTGGGCAGGGCTAGCTGCACGTTGCAGCAAAATAAGGTTGAGGAGAGGGTGTGAGCTCTGACAGGGCTTTATTGCTTGCACTGCTGGCTAAATCTGCCTCTGCTCAGAATCCTACACTACTTCATTCAATCAGCCATCCCCAGACACAAATATTCTTCCATTCTCCGCAGTGGCTGCTGTTCAGCGATAATTAGGACCAATGGAGGATCAGGAGAAAGACTCTCAAACCTTGACATTATACCTTAGAGATTTTTCTAGTTCTTTAGGACTCCAAAGACCCGTGGTCAGATGTGTGGGGCACAACCCTAGAACCATAACGTCCAGCAAACCATGCTGTGGTTTCTCAGACTCAGCAGAAAGAAAACCCTTTCAACCACATCCAGCAGTGCTGATGAGGTCTCTCCTGGCTTTGTGGGATCTATGGGTACACCAGAGTCCACGGGGAGCAGGCACCAGGCCTGCCACACCCACCACATTGTTTGGAAAGCTCGGGAGACCCTCCATGCCAGCCATGGGATGGGGCTGCGTGGCAGGCAGAATCATGCCCCCCCCCCAAAAAAAAAAAACATGTCCCCATCACAATCCCTGAAACCTATGACTGTGTCATTTTACACAGCAGTAGAGACTTTGCAGATGGGATGAAGTTAAGGATCTCGAGATGTGGAGATTATCCTGGATTGTACAGTCAGGCCCAGTAGAAGAGTCCTTGTAAGAGGGAAACAGGTGGATCAGAGTCAGCGGACAGCAACGTGGTAACAGAGCAGCAGATGAAGAGATGCAGCCACAGGTGGAGGATGGCAGGCACCTTCTGGAAGCTGGGAGGGGCAGGAAATGGGTTCTCTGCTAGAGACCACAGAAAGGAACCGCGGTGCTGATCATAACCTTTTAAGACTCATTTCAGAATTCTGACCTCCAGGCCTGTAAGATAATATATCTGTGTTGTTTTAAGCCACTAAATGCATAGTAGTTTGTTACAGCAGCCATAGGAAACGAACACGGGCAGTAACTCTGAGACCACAACTTCAGAGCCAGAGTGGCAGGGATCCGAGCCAGGGCAGGTGTGAAGATGAAAACACAGGGACAGCCAGAGTCAGCACCAGGTGTTGGAATGGAGGGCGGCTTGAGCTGGAGAAATTCACGTCTCGGTCAGAGCCCAGCATCAGAGCCATCAGGAGCTGGGAGGCAGCAGGACGTGGAGGGCCGCAGAGAAGGGAAAGGTCCCTGCCACCAGCTTAGGCAGCCGTGCCAGCCCAGAGGGAGGTCTCGTACAGGTCCAGGAGCACGCTCTCTGGGCCTAGTTCACTCGTCAACATACATTTATCGAGAACCTACCATGTGCCAGGGACAGACCTAGACGTGGCAAAGGACAAAAGACACATGAAAAACCCCCCAGCCTCCTGGAGCTGGCATTCTCGAGAAGTGACACACACCTGCCAGCTCTCTTTGGCGTCAGACAGGATGAAATCATCTTCATCTAGAATCATCTCAGCAAGACCCTCGGACGGCAGGAAGAAGCTGACCACGAAGCAAAGGGGTGGCAGGAACAGTGCCTAGGGGGCATGTCATG